TGGGCAAACGCTTCAGGTTAGCAACATATGCTGCAGGAACAGCTCTTGCTCATCCAATCATAGGTACTTCCGATTAGCTAAAACTAAGTTGAATTAATCTAAAACTTCGTCACCCACTGGTTAAAAGCGGGTATTTATACCCAGATTAGCCAAAATATGTGAAAAGCACAATAGTACATTTTATTCAAAAATTATACTATTATAGCACGTAGTACTCCAGAGTACATACCATAATCGGTGAGTTTGTTGACGATGGTAATAGCTGGTCTAAAACAACGGCGGTCTTGCCAAGGCTGGGGCTGGTAGCACACCCGCCTTGGCTCCGTCCACAGTCACCTTTGGGCCTTGGGTGTCTTTGAGCCGGCACAAGCCACCGTTGAGGTTGTACCACACAAACAGTTTGCATCCCGGTGTCTTTTTACATTCAGCGCAGCAGGATTCAGCAGTCCCCAGATTGGCCGAAGCCAAGTTGCCGCCAATATAGTGGGTGTTGTCTTCCAAGGTGCCACACGTGCTTAGGTCATTGGTCGGGTTGAGGACTTGGGTGGACTTGGATGGCGGGGGAAGAGTCAGACCGGGGATGCTAGCAGCCACGGCCTTGAAGATGTTCAAGCGGCCGTAGCCAAAGAGGTTGTTGGGATATTTTGTGTTGGGAATGCCACCGCAGGTCTTGTTGGGTGGAGATAACGTGTCCGTGTCCACATTCTCGGTCAGGGCCTTGTACACTTGGTCGTACGAAGCGTCTTTGTTGGCTGACAAGTACAAGGCGATGGCTCCAGAAACATGAGGCGCGGACATGCTCGAGCCAGATCTCGACGAAAAACCATCGTCACTGGAGTGTACTGCAGAACGGATGCTGAAACCAGGAGCCGAAATGTCGGGTTTGACGAGGCCCTTCACGGATGGTCCCAAACTTGAATCCAACGCCAAAATATCGTTGGAGTCAGTGTTGCCGACAGCAATCACTTGAGGGGACGCGGCCGGATAATCTGAATACGCACAGCCTTTAAAGCCTTTGTTGCCGTTCGCATACACGGGAATGATTCCCGCTTCTCTCCACATTCGAATCAGACCTTCCCACCAAAAGTTCCTGATGTGCTCTCCAAAGCTGCCGTTGATCACATGAGGGGCTTTGCTGCAGTCACGGTTGTTGCCGTCTTTGTCGTGGGGACAAAGCAGGAATTGAGCGCATTGTACCATCATACGTTGCTTGCACCCGCCCTCGCACCCTTTGCACGCAATCCACTTAGCCTTGGGGGCGACACCAATACCTTTCGTTCCCACCATGATGCCCATGACGTGAGTTCCGTGACCCAACGCGTCGTTGGGCAGCAGGTTCGTCTTGTTATACGGGTCGAACCAACCATATTTTCTTCGCCAGTTCGACTTCAACGACTCATGGGAATAGCGAACACCGGAGTCGATGTTGGCCACGACAATGCCGTCGCCCTTGATGCCATTGGCCCACAGCACCGGCGCTTGGATCTTCTTGATCCCCCATTCGATGGCCTCATTGACAGTACTGGCTGGTTTGTCATCGCTTTTGGTTTCACCGAGTGCCATTATGTCTGGCTCGTAAATGGATTTGACTTCCGGCAACGCCGCGATCTTCTGGACGAGGTCGGTGGGGGCGTTGTCAATGTGCATGGAAGAGTCGATCCATGTCGTACCCGCTTCCACAGCCGTCGATTCAACTTGGTTGGCCAGGAGCGACTTGACCGACGCCTGAGACGTGGTGGTGTGCTCCTTCAACGAATCAACCAGCGACTCGATGGTTTCGGTGCGAGACGCGCCGGCCTTGAGTCGGCGGCGGTGGGTGGCGAGGGCCTCGTCAGAGTGAAATTGGACCACGACGTTCGACTGCTTGGAAACTTCCAAGTTGCGATGCACTTGGACCGAGATCTTGGCCGTGACGGCGGTGACGGCGAGGGCGGCGAGGGCAATAAATTGGTACTGAACCATGATGTTGTTGGGTCAATGGAAATTGCAAAATGAGACCAATGACTCTCGAGCTGGGTGTAGCACACGACTTGCCTTGCGTAACACACTGGGAAAGATGTATCAGGTCAGCTGTTGTGTGTACTGTCTACACTATGCATGGTAACGTGATGAAATCGTTTACTCGCTCGGACGGGAGGTTTTCCAACGGAGTGATATCTCATTTGGAGTAGGGCCAATCATACTCGAGTAAAGTAGGGAGTAAGCCAATGACATTGTACAATTCCAAATATTTCGATTTAATGGATTTCTATTGGCCCCTGCAATTCAGAAATCTTCCATTTGCAAGGGGCAATGAGATTTTCTCATCTTTAGCTTCTAGTTAGGCGTAATAAAGTTCTCAGAATCATTAAACTTATTCCCCCAATCTGCAAATGAGAGATTCTCTCATTTGCAGATTGCGGGAATTACAGTACCATCTTAATGTGTCAGTTTTTATACGTGACTTTGGGAGCTTGGAGAAAAGAGAAACCCGTGTCAGAAAGATTTCTGACGGAATATCACTTGTGGCATCCAGACTGGCCCTAAGTTGGTCGTGAATGTCTGGATGCCTCCAAGTTTTCTAGAAAATCCCTAGAATATCCAGGACAAGTGTCAGAAAAAAATACGCCAAATCGGCGTATTTTATTTCTGCCATAATGGGGGCAAATCACCTGAAAACTCTAGGGGTGTGTTCAATAGAGCTCTTTCGAAAACCTGATGAGCTAGAGTTTGAATTTCGCCATGTGTTTTCCAGTGATTTGATTGGCCAATGCAAAAATACTGTATTTGAAACGCAACTCAACGAATCTTCGAAAGAGCTCTAATGACGCCAAATATTCGTACAATTCGGCCAAATGCGGAAATTTTAGTGGATATATCCGGATATTTCGAAATTCCGTTGAACACGATTTTTTTCAATGTCCCAGATATTCCCAAGCCAAATAAATATCCGCCAAAAATATCCATGTCTGGAGTTGGATATTTTTGGGGGACGCTTCACTGTGGGGCAAAGTTCTTGATATCCGAAAAATGCAATTATAGAGGGAATGGAATCAAAACGCGATTGGACCAGTCGTGACGACATGGAGCCGACAACCACTGTACCATGTTGGAGCTGGTAGCACTAGTGGGCAGGGACAGTAGGGAATTGGCGTAGGGTTTGTTGTTTCAACACAGGTTTGCACACGGGTGTACTCGCACATTGCAATCCTTCGAAGGTAGGTAGGTATGCACGAGCCGAGGCAGTTGCGGGATCAACGTGGCAATCGATGCCGCAACTGCCTCGGCTCTTTCATACCGATTGGGTGGGCTGGCGGTATTCACTGCGGGCACTATACACTATAACCAGGTAATATAGGCTTACGCACGTATTTCCTCGAGTTCCGTTCGTCACTGACCATATAACGTTATGATAGATTCCCCGCTAAGTGTGATTGATTCAGTCAATACCAACGTGCAATGATCGTAATTCACACACGGTGCACACGTTAATGCATACCAACAAAGCTATACAGCACACGATTTGTCGATGTTGTCGCGTATAAACATGTTTAGCATGATGTTCTACGAGGAACAAGTTCGGCATGTTCGCATGGATGCATCGTCCAGTCATGAGATTCCCTTGCACAATCCATTTTTCATAAATTTATTACGATATACAGTATATTTGAACTCAAGTACGGCCGTTTTGGCGTTGACGATGTGTTCAAGCCAACAATTTGCAAAAATCTCGACATTTCAATTTTGGATATATACGCCTATCGAAAAATCTCGACATTTCAAATTTGGATATATACGCCAACAATTTGCAAAAATCTCGACATTTCAAATTTGGATATATGCGCCTTCCAAATATCCGCAAATGCATATGATTTTTCCTGATTTCTCTAGCGTCCAGACACACGTTTTTGAAGAATTCTAGCTTTTTTATGTTCAAGCTTTTTCCTGGCAAAATGGCCGTTTTCTGACATAATATGGTGGTATCCAGATCAGCCCTTACAGTTAATTAATTACATGTAATAGTTCGAAGTATTACTGTACAGGAATGAAAAACGTTACTAATAGTAATAAGTGTAAAGACGCAACAAGATTCTGATGGAATGGCGCGTATTATAAATGTGCGATGACATATCAAATTCACCATATGGCTTATGAGCACCCCTTGCAAAAAGACCCACTAAAACAGCCTGGCGTTAGTTAATCCGTTGGGTATTACGAAGTAGTAATAAATTGACATACTAGTACTCAATAATGTAGAGTGTGGTACACCGTTTGGCAACCTCTAAAATTTTGATTTGATCGATTGGTGATCCCTCCAGATATACATACCCTTTTATATATTATATCCACGTAGTGGCGCGATATTTGAAAACGACAATTCGAACGAAGGGTTTTGAAATCTGAAACACCATACCCAATCACAAAATTTTTGACGACATGCCTCGACCCACGCGGCGCAAGCCCAAAGAGTACAAATACTCGAGGTACACGTACGAGCAGAAGCATGTCATCTTGCAATACCGGGACTCCCATACTGCGGCGGAAACCATCGACCGCTTCTTTCACGGTACACGGACGCAACGCCGCCGCGACACGGTCTACCAGCTGCTTGCAGCGTGGACCAAGAGTCGTCCAACGATTGAGGCGAAGGCAACGGACGCCAGAACACGGGACATGTACCGGACACGCCAACATGGTTTGGGCACGAAGCTAACCTAGGAGACCGGTTCCTTCCTGTGGAACTGGATCCAATCCATGCGCAGCGATGGAATGTTGCTCAGCCGCGACATGCTTGCGTTGCATGCCCTTGACGTTGCCCCGTTCTTCGAACACAACAAGCCCGACTTCAAGGCGTCGTCCTCGTGGTGTACACGGTTCATACAATCCAACGCGCTGGCAGACCGAGCGGTGACCCGACAGTCCGAGAAGACGCCAGCTGGGGTGTAGGGTTTTCACGCGTGCTTTTTGGGGTATTTACTCGTGTCGCGTATTTTGAACAATTTTTAGGGGGTTCACGCGTGCTTGGGGTTTTCACGCTTGCTGGGTTACTTGCGCGTGCTTTTATTGACCGATTAACATGAAAATCGTGTTGCTGGTCCGGACCATAATTATTATGACAAAGCATGTACCGTAGCATGCAGCATGACATACTATCACGATCAATACAGGACCAATTCCAGTCATTCTTCGACTGGTCCCACCACTACGAGATGCCCTCAGAGATGGCATCAGTGCCGTACACACATACACGGTCATACCTCATCATCGATGTGCCGAGGATATCACGTCGGGCTTCCACAACAGCCATGACCACCTCTATCTCGGCCAATACTGGTCCAAATTCAATCATTCTTCGCCTGGCCCCACCGCTGAGTGATGTACTCAGAGGTGGGGCCAGTTGTACATGCATTCGTCGCCTTGTTATCTCTCGGACGCGCTACATGATAGGCGTCAATTATCCGAACCGCCATGACCAACTCTATCTCGGCCAATACTGGTCTAAATTCACTCATTCTTCGCCTGGCCCCACCGCTGAGTGATGTACTCAGAGGTGGGGCCAGTTGTACATGCATTCGTCGCCTTGTTATCTCTCGGACGCGCTACATGATAGGCGTCAATTATCCGAACCGCCATGACCAACTCTATCTCGGCCAATACTGGTCTAAATTCACTCATTCTTCGCCTGGCCCCACCGCTGAGTGATGTACTCAGAGGTGGGGCCAGTTGTACATGCATTCGTCGCCTTGTTATCTCTCGGACGCGCTACATGATAGGCGTCAATTATCCGAACCGCCATGACCAACTCTATCTCGGCCAATACTGGTCTAAATTCACTCATTCTTCGCCTGGCCCCACCGCTGAGTGATGTACTCAGAGGTGGG